GCTCAAGTTGTGGCTCTTCTCAAACAGGAAACCTTCAGCTTTACCACTTATCCGAGACTCAGAGGACGTCCCTATCCGAATCTAGATACTACACCTGAGTCAAGACAGGATTCCCAAATAGATGTTAATGGCCTTTCCAAAGGTTTAATCAAAGAGACCCGACAGGGATTCGAACTCAGAACCTTTAGAGTCAGCAACCCTGACCACAAGACACCCTGGAAACATTCGAGCAGGTGCAGTTTGTTCTCCAGGCGTACTTTGTGACGGCCGTGCCTGGCTATGGCAGGTGTTTGTTACGTATGACGCCGCCATTATCTTCATAACAAGGACATGTTTGATCTCCAACAGTACATACTTACGTTACGGGGTCACGCTGCAGGGATAAACGACCATGATTGCCACTGACTTGCCATTTTAACCGTCATTAGAAGGCAGAGGAAACATGTGGGCGACGTCCCTTCAAATTTAAGATAAATAGCACAGCTAAAATGGCATGATAACCTTACACAACGGTCACTAAAACACCAGGAGGGTCTCGATAAATGGCAGATTCTTGGTAACCATATTACAAAATAAGCATTTTTGCAATTATGTAAGGGATAACAATAGTGATTATTCACCTTTCATTTGATGCCTAACTGATTTTATCCGTTGGTTGGGACAATTTAACACTGTTAACTATGAACTCTTAAATATGAAATGTAAAATAAATCTGAAATATTCAACTACCCATACATTAATCGTTAAGTTATAATGCAGAATAATACAAAGATTGAAATTTTCATTAGGATCTTATTATAATTAATTGCTGTTTGGATGCTGCAGATGCTACAACTTTGGAACATCAACGATTCGAAAGTTAAAAAATTAAACAACGATATCAAATAGGTTCATCTGGTGAAATCGTACTGACTAGAAAACATTGTTGGAGCTTCAAGCAAAGAATTCAGAAAAAAACCGACATTTCTCTTCTGTCAATGTCATTAATTACTGATCAGTAGCAAGTTGGGATAGTTCCAAAAACAAAACAAAATATTCCAAACAAATGTACTTAATTCGTAGCCTGCTGTTGTTTTTCTTTCTTTTACAAAAAGTAGCATTGTTCAAATTTCAAGCCCTGATGAATACAGTGTGTCGATGGATTCAAACATAAAATGCACTTATATCCATTTATATACCATAGTACATTAACCTGGCATCTTATACTATGCCAAATCAATTAGCAACATAAAATGACATGGCCTTCATCTCAACCATGTTCAGATTTATCCTCAGACGAAGAGACAACAATATCCTATCGTGTGGGTGTACGGCGGCACCGATGACTGTACCCTACCCTGCACGTATATGCTCGTCATAGCTAAGATCTATGCACACGATTGAAGTTAATTGAAACCTGTTGATGTTTATGCCGTCAATTATTTATTTGCGTCAGCACTACGTAGCGTGCGTAGTCCACTGGTTAGCGATCCTGCCTCCGGACTAGGAGGTTGGGAGTTCGAATCCCGGCTGTTGTCGCTCACCCAACATGCACGCTACTGTTTAGGTTCGCAGTCCTTCGGCCGTGGTCCACTGTTCATTGTGCTTGTCGAAAAGAGCTAGGGGAATTCCCCCGGTACAATGAACCTGTAAATACTGTACATAGCGTCTGTCTTCTCTGTCACGACCAATGGAAGAGTAGCTCTTCAATGAGCTAAACTGGTTCGAGATCACTTTTTACTTTTCACTAAGCTACACGTGCCTCACAACTTCCTCAGTACTAACGAGGCAGAAAAATAACACCAACTATATAACCAAAAATGACAACATAGACTATCCGTAATTCCTGATTTCTTCACTGTAGTGTTATGTTCACTGTTTTTACTTTAACTTCTGTACCGTGAACGTATCATTACAATTAACAAATGATTCCTGGGCTTTCCTTTTCCTTCACCTGTCGCCACCGTGAATATATAGTTCCGTGAACATGTCCTTTTTTCTCAGACAGTGAACTTTTGCTACCGTGAACATACAGTGAATTACAGTACCTATCACTGTGCAAATCCGGCCTGACCACAGGCATCAAGTGAAGCGGCAGTAAGCGGCACAGCGGGGAACTGACTACCGCACGTCAGCGTTTTGCAGCCGGTAATATCTGCCGGAAGTTACGGTGCGGCCACTTGCGCCATGGGTCGGCGTGGGATTTCTGATGCAGTAGAATTTAGGACACTAGCAGTCTTCTTCGATGACGAAGGACTATCAAGAAAATTTTCAAACCAGCTGTGGTAGAAACAACAGCAGATAATTGTGTAGGGTAACCATGTACAGAAAAAGATAAACAGCTGAATTCTGCAAGGCACATAATGGAATGCCCAAAGAACGCTCTTAGTTAAAGCTGCTATATGTTACATCAGAAGGACACAAAAAGTACATTTTGGTAATTTCTTTACAAACCCTACTCCATTACAAATAAATGCCATTCAGCAAGTTTCAAAATATGAATCCATACGAGTGTGTTTAAAAGCTGTAAACACAGCTGTCAGCCATGTTTGTTTACATTCTGGTAGTTTCTGGTGGTGCCAAAAACTGAGTGCACCTCTTGTAGGCTGCTTTAGCTCCATAAATGTGGCACATGTGAGATTATTTGCACAAATATCATAAAAGTAGAAGTGATGTATCAGTTATTAACACATTTTCTCAACTAAAATATTATAATTTTAATATGTTTCTTGTTCTTTTCCTTGAAATTTGGAAACTATGGCCAAGCCATGACGTAGGTTATTATGTTTTTTTGGAATGTGATCCATTCTTACTGCTGTGTCACTGCGAAGCCAATTCCTTAGGTAGCTTTGTTACCGTTATCCCTAACGCAGTAAACGTTGAAAAGTAAGAAAAGCTATGCCAAACAGCACGACAGTTATTTTAGGTACCTTGAATCTGCCCCCGTTGAGCACGGTTAAAAAATCCTGGACGCCTTCTACGCTCAAAACTGCAATCAATACCACCTTTAGAAAAAGGATGCTCCTTGAGTGATAAACATGCCAACTATGAAAAAATGACCATCTTGTTCATGGTGTAGAACGGACCTAGGTATTGTGATGACTCCTTGAGCATCGCCTAACCGTGGTAAAGGTCTGTCTAGAATCCAAGCCGGACTTTCTGTAGCTTTAGCAGCATTGTTGCTTAGTATGCTGTCCGAGAGAGATAAAGTTGGCCACAAAAATTCCAAACAAAACGGCCGATGCAAGAGCTTATTGCTAACGATAAGCTTAACTGTTTGTGCCGCATCTTTGTGCAATGGGCTAGCGGGAGGGCGACAGGCCTGAGTTTGAATCAGCCTTATGTAAAACCACGAGTACGTGCCGTGCATTTATAATTAGTATGCTGGGGGACCTAGTCTGTACCACGGAACAACTATTTATCCGTACAGATACCTTACAACGGCATTGTGAAAATTCATATGTACGCTACGATTGCTTTTGATGGGTGTTCCTGCTGCTTTGGATTTGGCAAATACAGTCGGTATAGTCAATGTAAATGAAACGACTTAAACGAGTCACAACGACAAGGTAGCCTGGTGTCAAAAGGTCAAGAAAAAGAAAGGTGCAATATTTTGCATATTCCCCTTATTGCCTTTAACATGCGAAAACCTCTGTATCGTATAACATGACACCTAAATGATGAGTTTATATTTTAAAAATTCTGCCCGAAGGCTAATTGCAAATAACAAGGATAAAATATATCACTCTACTCAACAAAATCTATGACCATATGTCCTCTTCCAACCGCCCTGATGAAAATGACAGTTAGTCATCGAAACGTCGGTTTTTGTTGTAGAGTAACTATCATATATAATGTTATTCGACTCATATGGCAAAGACAGCTTTTTTATTTACATCTACCACTCCAAATGCAAGCAAGACTTCTCCCTTTTGATTACGCCAAATTCTCAGGAAAAGAACACAAGTGAAAAAAAGGAGATGAATTGTAGTTACCCCGTCGTAGGCAATTATGATGATAATCTGAGTTAACTGCAAAGCGGATACAAACAGCTAGCAACATCAGTACGTAAAAACAAAAACAGTAGAAATGACTGCCATTTCTCTTAACCTCGTTAATAAAGTCAATATTAATCAGCAAAATCCAACTATTTGTTCACAGGAATATGTGCGGCGAAAATTCATATTCTTATCGATCCTAGGAATTTTAGGTTTGTCGTTGACCCCGACCTTTTTCTTCATAGTTTTGACAACATTTACTTCAATCCTCTTTCAGAGAAACACTTTCTTTTTCAAATAGACCACTTGTCTCATGGAAAGGCCAATCCGACATTCACTACGATCCTCTCTCACAGAAACACTTTATTTTTCAAATATACCACTTGTCTCATGGAAAGGCCAATCCGACATTCACTACGATCCTCTCTCACAGAAACACTTTCTTTTTCAAATATACCACTTGTCTCATGGAAAGGCCAATCCGACATTCACTACGATCCTCTCTCACAGAAACACTTTCTTTTTCAAATAGACCTCTTCTCTCATGGAAAGGCCAATCGGATACGGAAAGATATCCTTACAACTACAGTCATTGCTTAGGTCGGCACAAGACATTTCATTGTTAATGTGTAATGTACATGTAGCCGTTAACTGCCACATGCCTGTGAAGCAGGTGTCTGATACACCTACGCCTGCCATACAGCTGTGCATGTAAAAGTATAGTAGGCGTGTGCTGTACTATAGTAGTCACGCGAGCATTATCGTGACCACAGAATCGGTTTAGCCCCCCTCCCCACCCCCATGGATCAATTTCTAAACTTTGTACATAAAGTTTGCCCACCAGTTTTAGCTACTCTTGGCCACGCCTTTTTTGCACACGGCTCCTGACAATCGATGCCATCTCTCTCGCTACTTTGGTGATGACCAATAAGAATCGATAATAGTACTTCGTAGTCCGTGCGTATATGTAAATTACTTCCCAAGACGGAGACTGTGTGAGAGAGCATCCGCCCACGACTTCATCACCAGGACATATAAAACCAGCCAGGACCGGTCCGGAGCTCAACCCAGACCCCGCGAATCAGCCGTGAGCGAACATCCTGCTAACGTCTGTCTCATCCTCGACCAGAAGTTTCCCTCCGTCCGTACGGCATGGCAAGACTCCTGTTCCTCTTCGGTCTCCTGTTGGTGGCTCTGGCGGCGATCGAGCCGACTTCGTCCGAAGACATCAGCGATGACAGCCGAGAGTTGGAGGACATAGAACAAGACCTAGAACAGGTACAGTCACCTATGTTTTATTTTTAATTTCAATCCAGAAAATCCTTGTCTCTAGAACTGATTTAAACGAAGCGGTTACTTAAGCAACTGAATAGATGTTAAAAACCCACCCGGTTGCTTCAGTAACTGTTGCTTTGGTCTTTTATTACCAGAATGTCTAACCTTCATTGACATGTGTCTCTGACCTTTTTAGTTTTTGTCATCTCAGCTTGAACTACGGCATTGTGCGAAGCGGCGCTCTTGTTTAGACATGTGCAGCTGGCAACAGGTTACTGTAGACTCTGCTTCAAACGAAAAGTTGACGTGTTACCAGTTATCTACCACTGATTACTGAAAAACTGGCGCTGGCACAGCAAAGCGAGTACAGCTTTTCTCCTGACGTACTGAACTCACTTCCCGCTGTTTTTATTCCCACGCCACGGTGTCTTGAAAGGGACAATTTTGTTTGAAGCTACAGTACTTAGTAAATCAGCCGGAGGGCCACCGCTTGAACGTAAGGAAACTAATCAGGCAAAAAGCATCAAAATTGATGCAAAGCTTGACAACCAGGCAACGCGCAGTCTTGCTAATGATTGACGAAGATACCCCAGTAGGTGGCCAATGTAAGGGCTGGGAAATAAAATCGCTACATTTTTGGTTACAGTCGTTAAGAAATTACGGGTTCTTGAGTAGAGACTGTCGTTTTTTTAGCATTCTGGCTGAACTGATGCGGCAAATACCTTTTGACAATATGAAATCGACATTTTTCAAGACCAGGGCTGTCTTGATAAGACAAATATGTCACCTGGTTTAGTACTAAAGAAAATGGATGAAAAACACTTCGATGGTTAGAAATTCAGCTGTGGGGTAAAAATGACCTCCCGTCGAATCTAAAAGAAGCTAATGCTTTTGCTATGATAGCAACCTGAAAAACAGCGTTTTTACTGGAAATAACAAAAGGTCCATGCCTTGAATTTAAACTGGGCCGTGTGTATCGTAGCAGTAGCGTTTTCGGCTCAGGACCAAGAGGTGCCGGGTTCGAATCCCACCTATGTCACCGATGTTGTGCCCTTGGGAAAGGCACTTTACACGACTTTCCTCACTTTGCTCCGGTGAAAATGAGTACCTTGCTTCGGTTAGGGACGTCGCTCGGATAGGTGGTAAATGGAGGCCCGGTGTTTGAGGAGACGCACACCCCACGCATGTGGAAGAACCCACCGCACTTATTGAAAAGAATAGTGGACCCTCCTGGTTCAAACCTTATAGTCCAGTCTTACACAGCTTGTACTTACATTGTACAAAACTGGTGTGTTACGCCTAAAGGCGATTTACAGGTTATGCGTAACAAACAAAAACGACAACAGCTCTCCAGAAAGAAATAATTCTAAAGGAAACATTTACGACGAAGAAAATGACATTGTCGTGTTAGGGTGTATCTCAAGATGTTTGCCGTAACTCAACATCGCCTTGTGCCACGGAAAAAAAGACCAAATATAACAGCTTTTCTTCTGCAACCGCCGTTCTAAAATCTGAATCTTAAATGAAATCGGTATCTTTCTCTTAGCTCTCCAATACATTAAGACTAAATGCTCTATGGACATAACATGAAACATTTTAAAATCAGTTTTAGGGCAACTTTTGAACAAATTTGCGAAGTAAAAAATCTGACGAAGGATGTTTAATTGCACCTTCTGACTTTTGCGAAGCTGCAAACGACAATGTATCGGATGTTTGAACAGTTTTAGCACGACTGTTGAACACATTGGCGATTTAAACATTTGAAACGGGTCTTTTCGGTGAACTCGTACCGTCTACAAAGGCTTTTGCGGAGCCAAAGGCTCTGTTTCAGAATACAGTTAACATTTTCCTCAGTCGCTTATTACTAATCACTGCAAATCTAGCACCGGCATAGCAAAGCGAGCAACCCTTTCTAACAGGTGGAAGTAACTAATAGCCTACTGCTTTCTTGTTGCTTCCTCAAAGAGAGAATTTTGTTTAGATTTAACGCCCGTAAGCTGTAAAACGCAAGATTTGGCTGATAAATCTTCAAACTAAAAAGTGGAGTCGTGTGGCGCAGCGGCAGCGTGCTCGACTCGGAACCAAGAGTTCCCTGGTTCAAGTCCTGCCATGCCACCGATCCTGTGCCTTCTGGAAAGGCACTTGACACTTAACACGACTTTTCTTATTTCACGCAGGTAAAAATTAGTATTCTGTTGCCCTCTGTGTTAGTGGCGGCATAAAAATAAGATTAAGAAAAGCTTGAGTGTGCCGTCACCACGTCGATAACATGATAACATGTTGAAATAAAGAAAACATTTGAGTGCGTACATCTTTCTATAAGCAACGATGAAGTACCACTAGCTATTCCCGAAAAGAGGGAAAAAATCGTTGCTACACTTCCACGTCTCTCATGGCATCTACAAAAAAAAATCAAGAGACGATTCAATGTCCGTGCATTACTTCCTCTTTTTTTTATATTCCAACATGTACTCACAAGACGTGGTGACGGCACACTCATCTTTTTTCACCTTACATTAATGCCACCACCACCACAGGGGACAACACAATACTCATTTCCACCTGAGCGAAGTGAGGAAAGTCGTGTAAAGTGCCTTTCTCGCTAGATCGGTGGCATGCCAGGACTCGAACCCGGGCACTCTGCCGCTACGCCACACGACCCCACCTCCTTTTAATTCAAATTTTCAAAATCCCGGGCCCTGTTCCTTAACTTTCACTAAATATGCCTAAGTGCTTATGCCAGTACCTGGCCCGTTGCTTCCTCCATGAGAGGTCTCCAAGATTTATTACGGTCCCTGGCACTTCCCTTGGCATTAGTCGGAATTTTTTCTCTATTAGACTAAATACGACATTGACAAAAATCATCCAAACATAATACTTTACCATAGATGTTATACTATCATTAAGAACTGAGAAAGCAAATCGGTTCTAGGCTATTCTAACGCAATCTGAGGCCACAGCATGTAATTTTTATGGATAACATCAATTTTCGCCTGATTTTGGAAAAAAAACAACAGAAATTTTGTTGCCCTCCTACAGTGCTCAACATGCCGAAAATGGCAAAAAATGTCTCTTACCATGCTGGTACGTGGATGGAAGATAAATATGAAGAGAGGAAACAAGAAAAAGCTTTGATTTAATGTTTTGCTTTTTTACTCTGATGCAGTGATATGTCATGCTGACTGTGTATATGTGATATCCCCACTGAATCAAAACCAAAATGTAGGAACCTTGTTTTTTCGGCACGCCTTGTTTTTTTTTCGCCCGCTCGCATTAAATTCGGAGTATACGGAAGATGTCACCCATAAAATTTACTTGCTCTGGCCTAACTAAAGCTAAGAAGATTTCCGGAGTTCTATTGGGCTTTCAGCCAATATCAGACAACTTAGATATGTACCATAACGGTGCTGGCGATGCGCCAAACCTCTGACAAGCTCCTGTGTATGTATGCCATCAAGAGCTTACCACTCCTGCATAGATTCTTCCCCCATTAAGTCCTGAGAAATGTTTCAACTGTTGGTTTATGATTATTCAGCCATAAAACATGATTTCCTCTAACGGTCAGGCAGATTTAGTACAATCAGGAAAGCCCTACTAAACGCTTACTCATGTTTACGGTGGGTATAATATTTGAGTCTGGCTACCATATGCGGCTGTTTGACAACATTCAGCGCAGGTTTAAACCCGCGGCGGCTGGCAACTACATGTCCTTTTGATCCGTTAAACGCAGCGGCAGTCCAAATGTTCCGTTTGGAATCGTTAACCAGAAGAGGCTACTAAAGCCCTGGGGCGTGTTGCGAAGAAGCTATCGCAGATTGCCCAATGAGGGGGTGATATACAATACAATAGCTTTCACGATGTATTCAAAAGTACGTGTTAGAATCGTTACTTTGAATTCGCAGGTTGCTCCAGAGGATTTCTAATCTGTTTTGCATAAAAATAATTTCAGATATGACCATTAGCGCGAGGTTCTAAGCAATTCATGGCACTTGGATGTTTCCAAATTGTATCTCTCCAAAGTTCGGAAGCGCTCGTGTAGAAAGAAAGCTAAGCTCGGGGGATATTGTAGGCGTGTATTAATTAATCTCTACGATTCTGAACCTACTGCTTCAAACAACCCATTAACGAATGGATCTTAAAACAGATATGCAAGTAAAATGAAAACACAATTTCAGAGATGGGGAACTAATTGCGAAGGAGGAAATGATCGACGCACAGCTCACGTAGTATTAAGTAGAAAGATGGAATAGGTAACAAGTAACTGCAGTAACAGATAGTCCAAAGACGCGAAGTGTTGAATTATATAAACTTCGATATCAACTAAATTAAAGGAAACAGCATGATTTATTCCTTTCGTTCTTTATAAGTTGTCGCAAAGCTTGCTGACAAAAGAGTACCAAGGGTCACACCTTTTCAAGTAGCAATTTACTACTAGCAAGTATTTTTTTCGATAGAAACTGCTGGGACCCTTTGGATCTGTTGACTTCTGCCATGCTCAGCAAACAAGCAGTAATGCTTTAATAGCAAACAATCCGTACAAAATAATCCGAAGAAACAACTAACAACAAGTAGAAGTTGATACAGAAGTGGAATAAATAGATACAAACAAACAGAGGAGCATGGCGTGGGTTTCAGGCTTATTAAGCGCGGGAATGAAGAAATTTGACCTTCTGTGATGCGGAAATGGGCTGCGCGAGCTGCGCGCGACGCAGGTCTGTTTACATGAAGTTTTTCCTCGCCGCAGACATCCCGCTGTGTGCCGCGACGCACTTGTGGCACCTTCAGGAGGTGCCACAGAAAAAACGACACAAGGCGCCGCGCGGCGGTGGCGGGCCTGTTTATACGATTGAAAAATGTGTCGTACAGCTTGCGCGCGCGCGCGTCGAACGACGCCCGACACATAAAAACGACGCACGTGTGAATCGGGCCTTAGTGTACGATCTTTATACAATCACAAATTGAAAGCAATCGTGGGGTAGTCGTGCATCTACCGTGCAACCCTC